AGAGAGAGAGAGAGAGAGAGAGAGAGAGAGAGAGAGAGAGAGAGAGAAAGAAAGAAAGTGATAGATAGATAGATAGAAAGATAGATAGATAGATAGATAGATAGATAGATAGATAGATAGATATCTCTTGATTGAGCGAAAGATAGATAGATAGATCAATATGCCTAGTATTCACAATGCATAAATAAATATATATTAACATCTTAAGTGTGTTACTTTTTTTCTACAAATACTGTACATAGACATATACATAGAGAGAGAAAGACACATACATAAATAAATATATATTGAGATCTAAAGTATGTTACAATATATATTTAATTATGCATATAAATACATTTTGAGAATGAAGTAAGTGTGCTACAGATGCAGCTGGTTTCAGGCACTGAGCACAGTAGTAAGTGTATAATATCCATGGTATGTTCTTCATTTACTGCATACTTCATAGAGCTATTTTTTTGATTGTAGGTAGTGTAGCCCTGCTGTTAAAAGTGCTGCAGGAATACATTGTATAATATGTCTACCTGTGACTGAAATGGATGAATTGTGTGACATCCTAAGTGTTGTTCAGAAGAAGTTTAGCACAGACTTGCTGTACTTCAACAGGTTGTATGAACTGCTCAGTGAGAGGTCGGTATTGTCTCTGTATGACAGGCTGGAAAAAGCTCCTAAAAACACAAAGGGGGCGATTCGGTATAGCATTTGTGACACTTTTTCTGGTGTTCTGGCCATATTAGAAAATCCTGTGCCAAATTTGTGCGACTGTTTTCTTGCTATTTCCAATTTAGGTAGCTCTTTGGTGCAATACTTTTACATTTTGCCACTATGGCTGCGACAGAGTCAAAAATAAATACCGCCATACGGTTAATAAGGAAAGTGGCATCACAGACAAAATTCTGTCTGGGGTAATTTTGCAGCAGATTCATACACACCTTACTGACACTTACATGAATCTGTATCAAGTTGCGCCATTTGTTGTTTTTAACATTTGACACATTTCTAATGGGTATCTTAGTCACTCTTCATGAGTTCCAGGGAATGTTGTTTGTTATAAATACTGTACATATATCTATATATATATATATATATATATATTTATAGATAGATAGATAGATAGATAGATAGATAGATAGATAGATAGATAGATGTTGTATTGTATATAGTAGTAACTATGTATGTAGAATCCACCTGTGATCATATTTTAATTACAATGCTTACATGAGTGTAGACATGTTTGTAAACTGTTGTTCATTTTTTTTTCCTCTTATGTGTTTAGATTCTGTTTGCAGAGTACACTATGCTAACATGGAAGTAGTCGAGAAATTAGCATAATATAGACACAGTCAAAAATTTAGAGAAGTTAAACATTTACAGTTTTTACATGATTAAACCTAGAGTTAGACACACAACTTGAGATCTGTTTATACACATGATTAAATCTATTTTTTTTTTTTAATAATACAAAGTCTTATGATACGATAGCTTAGATATAGATGTTATATCTGGTATCAGTGAAGGCAGGTGAAGTGGACACAGGAAATACATTTTAGGTCGTAAGGCAGAATTGGGCTATTGTGAATGTACATTATTAGATATTTGCATATACTGTAGCTAAAATTCTGTTTATATGGCATTTTTATTTATTTGGTTATTTAGATAATTTTTATGTCAGCTTTGGTCACATTTTAGTTTTACTGTTTTAAAAATAAATACAGAAGAAAATATATCTTTCTCCATCTCTCTCTCTTTTTTTCTATGTTTCTACCTTTTGATCAATATTTATCCTTTTTAAGTACTCTGTTATCAATGTTCAACTAAATGTTTAGTACATAAAAAAAAATAACATCTGAGAAAGTATCTGCAGTATTTATAAGGAAAACATTTTCATATGTGATATGTTTTTAACATTGTTTGGTTGCTCACAAACTGTTGATGTACTAAGAAGACAGTACTTCATATAAATAATGATGCTTATATGGCCTGTTAAAAACACTATGCAAAACATGAAAAAAATAAACAAGAAATGGAGAACTGGTGAATAAAATAACCAGGGTGTTTTAGGAAGTTATCAAAGATAGATAGATAAGAAAGTGGATAGAATGTAGTTACAAGAAAGTGGACTACGAAAATGCATTGTGCTTATATGTGTAAAATAGTAATGATGTATTTATTACAATGACATTTAAACAGTGCAGTACTCTGTTATAACATGATAATTAAGTGGATGATTTATTAAACTTCATCTTCATGTTAGCTTTGCAAATTAGTGTTATTCTCCTTACACCTAATCACGGTAGAGGAGTATATATTCCTTATTACTCTCCGGTGAGCCGGTCTTAGTAAGTGAATATCAATCCACTTACATAAATATGTGACTTTGCTAAACTCTTTTTGTAGTATTTACATAATGAATATGATTATCCACATGCTTTTTATTTTATTAATTTGTTATTTATGTTTACAAGCTCAATAGGTGATCAATAGTAGTAAACATAAAGCTTTAAGTTAAAACTACAGATGTGTATCATTTTAAAGGCATCACACTATATAGGCATATGTTAATAGGTTGTACTACATGGACAGTATATACATGCCATAATACTACTAGAAAAGGCCTGTTTGTGGTCCCTTTATTCTAAAAATAACTGTATATTGGTGTTCCAGTCATGTCGTACGCATTTATGGCTTTCAAAACCTAAAACCCCATTTGGCATTCTGTTGTGGCATAGAATACCATGCAAGCCTAAAGTCTCTCATGACAAAAGCTTGCTACCTCGACACACACAAAAAAACCGATAATGCATTGTAAAGCTTTCAGTTCTTTGAAGCAGTAAAATTCTACAAATAGTTAAAATATATTTATTTAGCTAACAATATACATACTTAGCTCCCTATATAGTAGACATATTCACCATTTTCACCATTACTGGTCATATGACACTCCAATAAGTAATTTAAATGTCACGATTAATATAAAGGATATATATTTGATTGTCTCTTTTGGGCATTATGCATTTGTGATATCAAAATCAGCAAGCGCTTACAATGCTTGAAAGCAAGTGTACACTTCAAGGCTCTTGTTTAGAGGTTGTCATGAGCAACATCAGGACTTTTTAGAGCTGTAAGTCAAGTAAAAAGCAGAGGACGTTTAAAAATCAGCATCATCCATATCTTAATCAGTTACAGTTCAGTCACTTACCTCTTTCAATTATAAAGTGTGAGTTGAGGTGCATGAACTTCACAGAAAACCTGCCATATGAAATATATTTTTACTGGTAGTACTGACCTCCAGCCTGAAAGTGTTAGTTGCCCAACAATCAGGATTATTCCCAGGCTCAAGCATTTTCACCGTCACTAATCTTGGAGAAGTATGCAGCAAGTGAAGTCAGTGCCAATCACTGACGTGAAACCAGCATACACTAATGGAAAGTCAGCAAAAATTCAGAATTCTTTCTTCTTTTGTCTAAGTAACCTCAAAGTATTGAAGTTAAAGCATCGCCATGAAAACCAGGCAACTACTTTTTCAGTAGGAGGGATCACAGATGGCAGACTTTATAATTGTTTAATGACAGGTTTTCTTTAGCAGGAGGTCATGGTTGGACAGGTGGATCAAGACCATATTTAAAGAACTAAAGCTGGCCATATACCTTACAATTATCTGCAGATTTTCTGTGGTCAGATGGAAAAGGTGCAACAAATTCTTCCATCTACACTTAACTGTGTGGATGGAGTAATCTCCAACTGGGCCAATCTGTTGCACTTTTTCCATCTGACCACAAAAAATCTGCAGATAATTGTAAGGTGTATGGGCACCTTTACATCTGGTTATTATATCAAACTAAGGTCAATAAATAAAGAAGCAGGGAATGGCCAAGCTGCAAGTGCAGTTAAAATACAAGTATTTTACAAAAGGTCCTTTAACTTTCAAGTGCAATTGGTATCCTTAAAGTGGACAT